CTCTGTCGAGTAAGACGCGTTGGGTCCTACACGTCAAGAAAGCAGTGATCCAGTGAAGTATTGGTCCTGTGATCCCGTAATGTCGTAATTTAAGAGTCAGTCTTTTGTGGGGAACTTTGTCAAAGGCTTTGGCAAAGTCAAGTAGTATGGCGTCAACTTGTTTGGTGTCACGTCTGTCTAATTGTCGTACAATGTCATGATGAGTGGTGATTAGTTGGGTCTCACATGATCGTCTGGGCCAAAAACCATGTTGTGAGTCTGTAAAGATGTTGTCGGTATCAATGTGGTTCATTATGTGTTTATGTATTATGTGTTCAAAAATTTTGCAGACGATCGATGTGAGAGAGATGGGGCAATAATTTGGCATGTCAGTTCTGTCTCCTGTCTTGAAGAGGGGGGTGATCTTTGCACAAAGCCAGCCAGTTGGTAGGGTGAATGAGGCGAGTGATTGGGAAAAGATAGATTGAAGGATGGGGGCAAGGACAGGGGCGCTGGACTTGAGGATTAAGGTGGGGATCTGATCTGGTCCAGTGGCTTTGTTTGTGTCAAAAGTAGTCAGTAGTTTCAGTATGCTGTTAGTCGTGATGTCAAGCGGCGGGATTGGGGGATAAGGTCTATCTGGAATGTTAGGTGTATCTTTGTCTTCGTGTATGAACACAGACTGGAAGTGTGTGTTGAGTAATTGTGATTTGAGTTCTGGGTCTGTTACAATAGTGTTGTAGTCTTTCAAGGCTGTGATCGCTGTTGTGTCCTGACTTAAAGAATTTGAAGAAGTGTTTAGGGTTATTTCTGACGTTTGCGCGGTAGGTGGAAATATGTTCATGTTCTGCTTTCTTTATGTTCTTGGAAAATGTTTTTTGGTGAGCTGTGAAAGCAGTCCAATTTTCTGGTGTGTTGTATGTTTGCGTGCATCTGTAGAGTCGCTGTTTTTTGTGATGTTGTCTGCGTAGCTCCCTGGAGAACCAGGGAAGTGTATGTCTACTTGAAGGTGTTTTCTGTGGGATGTGTTTGTTCATGGATGTAAGTATGGTGAGTTTAAGGTTATCCCAATTGGAGGTGAATGGTCTTGAGTGGGGATCAGTGGAAAAGTAGTCTGTGCTAAAGTTGGCGATGTCCTGTGTGATTGCGTCTAAGTCAGCTCTAGAAAAGAAGAAAATTGGTCTGCATCTCTGTTTTTGTCTGGTAGGTCTGAGGTCTACGTCAACGAGGACGATGTCATGGTCACTAAGTCCTGGGATAACCTTGGTGTTTGTTATGTCTAGCACGTTATTCGTGAGGAAAGGTCTAGAATGTGTGAGGTGGTGTGAGGGTCACCGACGCCATTGGTACGTGTCATGATTTGTGTTCATGTTGGAGTGAGTACTGTTTGCGAGAGTTAGTGAGTATTTATGATGTCCATGAACGTGTCGTGTAGTTGGCGTCTGTTTGTGTAGGGAATGATGGGGGCCACAAGGTCGGTGAGTGGGGGATCGTGAGGGGACAGAGCAGTCCAGTCTATGTCAGGGAGGTTGAAATTGCCTGTGAGCCATATGTTTTAGTCTGCGTTAATGCGTGTTAAGAGATAGTTCAAGGTTCTGTAGGTATTCTGTATTAGTAGAATGCAGTCTGTAGAAAGTGTCGAGAAGGAGTGATTTACAGTTATAGAGCTGGAGTTGGATCCAGACAATTTCACAATCCGTGTCAAGGTCAGGTCTAGGTTTAACAGTTAGTTCTGGTTTGGTGGCGATGAGAACACCGCCACCTCTGCCAGCGTCAGTCGAGCGGTCTTTACGTACTACAGTCATATTAAAGGGAGGGGGGAAAATTTCAGTAGAGTCAATGTCAGGAGTTAACTATGTCCCAGTACCTATTATAATGTCAGGTTTGTAAGAATGGAGGATTTGATGAAGCTGGGCTATTTTGTTGGTAATGCTTCTGAAGTTGATGTTTAGTAGGCGGAGGGTAGTCGGGTTATAGCGAGCGGATGGTCTATGGGAGGTAGGTATGGGGAGGAGGAGGAGGAGGAGAGGAGGAGGAGGAGGAGGAGGAGGAGGAGGAGGAGGAGGAGGAGGAGGAAGAAGGAAGAGGAAGAGGAAGAGGAAGAGGAAGAGGAAGAGGAAGAGGAAGAGGAGAGAAGAGGAAGAGGAAGAGAGGAGGAGTGGAAGAGGGGGTAGGTGGGGAAGAGTGGGGGAGGGGAGGGAGAGGGGGGGGACGAGAGGAAGAGGAGAGAGAAGGAGAGGAAGAGGAGTGGGGAGGAGAGAACGAGGGAGAAGGAAGGGAAGGGAGGGGAAGAGGGGGGGAGCAGAGAGGGAGGGGGAAGGAGAAGGCAGAGGGAAGGAAAGGGAGGAGGAGGGAGGAATAGGTGAAGGGGGGAAGGGATGGGAAGAGAGGGGGGGAGAAAGGGGAAGGAAGGAAGG